AATCGCACTCTCGCCTGCATTTCGCGCACTCGACACGCACGATCTCCACAGAGGGTTGCGCGCGCATGGGACAAATCGCACTCTCGCCTGCGTTTCGCACACTCGACACGCACGATCTCCGCAGAGGGTTGCGCGTCAAGTCTCCAAAACGAGCGTTTCGTACGAGACTTCCTCAAAAACTCACACGTCAAAGTCTGCAAAACGAGCGTTTGGTACGAGACTTCCTCCAAAAGTCAAGCGGAAACACCCATCGGAGCACACACATCACGCAGCCCTGCCAAGCAGTTTCGCGATTCCAGCCCCTCCAAACAACATCCGCTCACACGCCAATCCCAATGGGACAGCGACATTCACCTCTACCACAACTCACAACCTCACGATTCCCTGCGCCTGCCACGAATCTTTCCCCATCCACACGTCTAACGCGCACAAAGTACTGCGCCTGCCACGAAATGTCACCTCCCTCACACCTCGCAACCTCCCGACTCCCTGCGCCTGCCACGAGAATCGCACTTCCACGCTTCAAAGCCCGCACGAAGTCCTGCGCCTGCCACGAAAAGTGACAATATCATCGCGTGTGAGCTTCAACAAAATTTGCACCACACCACACGTTTGGAATGATTTCGACCCGTTCAGAGCACACTCCCATCCACCAAAATCGCCATTTCAGCTGAGACTTGTCACGAAAACAGAGCTTCGATGCCACACCCTGAAACGCAAATCCCAATGGCACGTCCACATCCAACACCCCAAAAACACGACTCTCCAAACGCTAATCCCAATGGCACTGCGCAGCAAACTGCGGATCTCACAAAACGCTGCGCCTGTGCAGCGAAATGCATCACGTTTCTTGCGCGACATGTCCGTGTCCCGCAAGTCACAATGGAATAGCGGTGCAAACTGACACGCGACACGTCCATACCAAGTCACTTGCAAAAGCTTCCCCCAATGGCAGCAAATTTGAGACGCGACGACGACGACACGACGACGACAGACGACGAGAGACGACGAGAGACGACGACAGACGACGAGAGACGACGACAGACGACGAGAGACGACGACACGACGCAAGCCATGCAAACACATGTCCAACCCCCACACCCCCAACTATAAACGGGAACCCTTCGCTACGCATTCGGGAAAAAACTGTCACAAATGTCAAAGTCGATTGCGTTTCCTGGCAAAGTCGTCGCACACAGCATCGCGCATCTGAGAAGCCAAAAATGCCTCCAGCGGCGAACGAGCTGCTCATTTCGCACGCTTCGTTTGAATAAATTCTTCGAAGCTGGCTTCTGCTCTGATCAGACGTGGATCCTTCTTTCATCTTTGCATTTTCTCTTTCATCTCGCCACTTGGCAATCTGTACGTTGCGGGCAGTAAAGGCCAGGATGTCCAAAAGATCTGAAAAGGGAATTGATTTCTTCTAAGTTATGTCTTTTCTTCATCTAAGGCTCTAAGGAGTTCCTTTGGAAGTTCTTCCGGATTTCTGTAGAAGAAAAAAATCGAACGGGACTCACCCTTTTTGGAACATCATCAAGCCATGAAAACTTCCAGACTTCCAGCCTTTGCCCTTCAGCTTCGAGTGGGAGGGGCATTCATAGGTATCACAGGACTGGCGAATCAAGCAAAAACTTTCTGTCTGAGAACCAGAGGTCTTGTCACACCCTTCGTTCTTGGTTTGTTGTGTTCAAAGTCTCCTCAAGTAGATGCAACGAAACATTCATGATCACACCTGCGGAGTGAGACAAATGTCGGTCATGTAGATCTGCCCAGAGGTCCAGTTTCCTGGTGCTAAGTACCTGTGAGAATCAACGATCTGCTTACTCTGTTTTCTTTCCTTCACAATCGCAAAAAACGTAAGTCACACCGAAATACTGACCGCACATCTAGCTCCTTAGATTCAAGCTGATGCTCCGGTGTCAAGCTCATTTATGAAAGACCACCCCGGCTCACTGAAATTCCAACTTGTCCGCTGCTTGCCCTACTGGTCCAGTCACCTCAACACCAAACCACAGTAATGTTCACAAGAGACTCTGGAGGCTCTGCTGTACATGCTCTGCATGCATGAGGCAATGCACTCCAATCTGACCTGGTCGCCTTTTTCATGGAGTCAGCGCAGGTCATCAAGGCGTTCAGAGGTCTTCGGATCTGAGTCAAACCTCTCTTCAGCCCTCAGCTGAGTGCAAAAATGATTCAAGATCGCGTGCGCTTCGTGCGCTTCCTTCATCGGAGCTCTCACAAAATGCACTGGCAAAGAATTGCCACATGCTGCCTCATTCTACTCGGTCCACTGCGTCGGATGTTGCTGTTGGACTCCGGCAAAAGGCTCCGCCAAATGGCAAGTAGTTTACCGGTCAAAAGGCCAGCCAAACACGCCACGTCGTTGACAGGCATCTTGCAATCAACGGACATCACATTCTGCTGCTTCATGGGCCTGAAGGACACAACTTTCAATCAAAGCGCACTCTACACAAGTTTTGCACATTCCAAGAAAACCGCATCCCAACGGACCGGCAGAAGTTGTTGTCTTCATGCTCACTCAATCTCTGCACCAAAGAGCTCAAGTTGCAGTCGAAGGTGGTTTTTGCAGCCTTTGCACTGCCCTAACTCGCCTCCAGAGGTTGACAGAAGGCAAAAGGTCTCACTAAGTTCCACAGGCCTTACATGACTTCTCAAACCTGCGATGAGTCCGACCAAAACTTCAAGGCCTGCCAGTGAGCAACCGAATCAAGGCAACCAGGAGGACGACGCCCAATGCTACCAGAGCACGTGGGTGACCTGCCAGCGAAGCCGATGGCTGCAAAAGTCTGTATTGTGAAAACGTGAAATCTGGTTGAAAACTTGTTTTGGACACACTCCGCGAGAAATACAAGGAGGTATCGAAGGATGAGCTCCAACGGGTGATGCATAATTACTTCCATGTGATCTGGGTGAAGGAGAATGAAGTCGATAGGAACTTGATCACTGGGTGGCTTGCCAAATGCAGTGAGAGGGTTGATGCTCTAAAAAGCTTACCCACGATTCAAATAGTCAGGATCAGTCAATTATATGTAGAAGTTGTAAGCCTATGTCAGCCTCAGTGCTATGAGACATGTGTTCCTTATGGGAAATCAGTGAAAACTGCGAAGGCAGATGACAGATCAAAATGAGAGAACACTGAAGCCAAAAGAGGAACGAGTGAGTGGAAATGAAAGTGAGCCGAGGGTATAGATCACCATCCAACTCGTGGCACCTATGGCAACTGACTGGGCAGTCAGGAGAAAGATTGAAGCACTGAAGCAGAATACCCAGTGCCACGTGTCTCTTCCGACAGGTCATTGGAAGAAATAATGTGCACTGCTCAAGATTGTGTGTACATCCTTGAAAGCAATGATGAGCCTTTTGAAGTCTGAAGTCTACCCCACGGAGGAGGTCCAGTTCGGCAAAGGCATGAATGTTGCTGGGGACTTCACCAATGACTCAAAAGAAGACGGGAAAAGGAAAACCTTCCAAGAAAGACCAATGCAAAGTTGGAGAACATCACCTGGGGCATCATCACAAAATGCGAAAAGGGCTGTTCTCTCCAGTGGGAATGTCTGATGCCATGATTGCCACCTATGAACAAAACATACTGAGCGTATTGGGAAGGGGGCGACTGAGTTGTCTCATCAGTCGGCATTGGAGTCCGCAGATCTGCTGTGCCTGACACTGCCTACTGGAAGACTCTGGTTGTGGAGTTGGTTCTTAGGGATATTGAAGAACGTGTCAATCAACGGGGGTTGAGAGTCATTGGGAGACAGGAAACGAACAAGTTGGCACACTTGTCTCACGGAGATTGCACAGATTCCTTATTTGTGGTTAGAAAGGCGGCGTCGAAGGAACTAACTATTGCGGAAGTTAGAGTCCTGTGCTTTCATCATTTTGGATAAAGCTCCAAACAAGCTCAAAAGAACAGCTCGTGGCCATTATGCTCCAGTGCTTGAGGCACTAAGCCAAGCGAGTGAGAACAAGCATCACCCTCTTGAGCACTGCAATGACCAGCCAACTTGCCCGGGAGCTGACGGATAACCTCCTCGAAAAACAGGAGGAGGAGGAGAATCCTTCAGAGTTCATTAGTTTGGACGAAGCTTCAGATCACTCGGAGGACCTATCGGCATGCCCAATCATGGGCCACGCCTTGTACGAGGCTGGAACGTTCAAACACAAGAAGACTTGCACCGGGGCGTACCAGGAAGAGACGCACTACATCCAGTGGATTGCAGTGGATTGGCAGTCACATCACCCTGAAGTCATGTGTGGGCACAAAGAAACTTCTGCTCTTCATCGAGTGTCGACTCAGCAAAGAAGGGACGCCTACAGGCCACATGGATGGAGAAGAAGGAGCAGCAGAAAGCTGGTGGAGCCAGCAAATCACACCAAATGCCGTGTCCTCCCCAGGCAAAGATGATGAATCGCAAGAAGCCCAAGGAGAACTTGACCGATGAAGCCATCAACCAGGAGAGGATGATGCAACAGATAATCCTCGAAGTTGTGGACACGAGGGAGGGGGATGGGCTCAAGCGTTCGCAAAAAAATAACAAAATGGAGCATGAGGAGGGCGGCTTGAGCAAGTTATAACAAGTTCATCTCGAACTGGGAGGCAGTTGCAGCGGCGGTGAGTGCTCAGACAAAGCAGAGGCCTTAAGCCCTACAAGAGCAAGTGAGCCAACTGAAGAGAAGTGCCATGATAGATCGATGGGGCCACCAGAAATTGTATTTGTCAATGAAGTACTGCATAGAGCCTGGCTCTGCGAAACAGATCCACATGAACCAGTAGATGTTTCATTCATCACTTGAGGTACAGCAGGCCCAAAAATAGAGGTAGCAGAAGTTTTGTCTGTGCCAAGATTCTGCAGACTGGGACTTTGGCAACAACAAAGGAGAGATTCGTTGAGAGAACATGTTGCAGTCATGAAATCAACGTTGTTGTGCCCACCTTGTGGAACAGTTGCACTTTGCAGGTATTCACACCAAGGAATGTGGCAAATGACGATGGCAATGCATGTTCGGGTTGAGAGACAAAGAAAACAGTAAACTTCACAGGAAAAGCATTAGACTGTCTATATATATATATAAACTGTGTGATCAGTCCCATGGCCACCAACATGTGACAGGTTCCACTAGGGCCTCCCGTTCCAAACTTGCTCAAGAGTATCCTCCGCGATTCTGTGAAGAAATGTTGATAGGACTTCAAGAGCACATGCAAGAGCATAAGCAGAGTCACGTTGTACATTGTGTGCTGACGGTTGAGGCTCTCAACATGAAGGACGAGGAAAAAGAATCCGCCGGCCCGTGGGCGCGGCGTGTTTTAGGTGATTGGTTCGTATGCTATCCTAGTAGTTGTTTTGTTTTAGTCTAATTGTGCCCACGGCGCGGATTTTTGACAAGTCTAACTTCTCCCCCCCCCCCCCCCCCCCTCTCCCCCCCCTCCCCTCAGCCAAAAGGGCCGGCGGAACAATCCGCAGGGGTATAACATGTCCCTGCTGAGGAGATGTCTTGGACATCGATCAACACCGCGCTTTTTCACGATGCTAAAGGCTGCCAGAGCTAATGAACTTTGTATTCGCTTGCCAAAGGGTTGTCATGTCCAAATGATAAAAACTACAGGTGAGAAAAGTCACAATGTCTGAAAGGCTGTGAAGGACCTGCGGTTCAACCTACTTCCATGTTCTGATACCATTGAAGTTGAATTGTCAAAGAAAATTGAAACTGTTGAACTTGGTTGACATGGGAAAGTCATGAAGATGCGACATGTCAGAAAGGCGTATCATCGCTTTTGGAAGCGTTGGGCAGGTGCACCAAAGACAGTTGTCAGCAATGGAGGACCACAGTTTGGTGCAGGATGGAGCGACCACTTGGCCAGTGATGGAACAAAACACACAGTCACAGCCGCAGAACTCAATCCTCAGACAAAGGAAGAAACGGAAGAGCGTGTGATCAGCTAAACTGTGCCCATAATACCTGACGAGACAAGAAGGGTATTCACCGCAACAGCATCTCTTGGTGCAGATGTCACGATTCCAGTGCTTGGCATGGTCGGTGAAAGTAATGAGACTTTCGACTCCGCCTTGAATGAAAATGAAGAAAGACATGCTAGGCGAGCAATGATTCATCGAAACAGACCAAACAAAGGGTGATCAAGTGCTGATCAAAGGACCTTTTGCGTAAGTCACCAAATGAGAAGAGACATCGTTGGCATGAACTCGAGAGGGCAATTGGTGCTCAAAGGGAGCATTGGTGCTCACCGGTGATGTACGGAGTCAAAGTGTACCGGTGTTTGGCGGAGCAAATAAAGCATGTGTTGACAGAGACTTGGTTGCCCGTCATGTTGAGAACTTGGAAGAGCACCGTTCCTGAACGAGGTGCTGGAAACTTGGTTGAGCTTGACCCAGAGAGATTCCCTCCACAAGCAGAACGGGAAGAAAGACAAACGGATGAGCTGAAGGTCATTGACGACCAAGGACCGCGAGTCGAGGAGGCCAATCAAGTGTTGATTTGCAAACCCGTTGATGAGGCAGATAGCTCAAATGATCAGGTAATGAATCATCAGTGATAAGAACATGTAGGGAAGGAGCCAGCTAAGCAGGAACGTGAAGGACAAGTTCAAGTCCCCACATGGGAGCGACTCATTCGCCAGCAGGTTCTGACAGACAGGGGTGAATCTTCATGATAAGTGTGGAGCCCAACAGTAAACCAAGGGAAGGTAGTGAAACATTGCAATTGGAGGCCATCGCTAGTAGGTTGGAGGCCATCGCTTCTAGGTTGAAGGCCATTGCTATTAGGTTGGAGGCCATCGCAATTAGGTACAAATTAAATGGGGAGACAAGCGGATCCCAGGACATGGAACTTGAAATGCACCCCACATATATATTATATATAGACTTAGACAGCAGTTCGCACTTCCTCTTTGAAGCAAGCCATACGAAACAGCTCGAACGGTTTGGATTTTGGAGCCCCAGAACTCGAAACACTTCTGAAATGTTGTATGTTGAGCATCGAAAGGGGATGCAGTTTTGTGTTTTCGTGCGACATGTGCAGGTCTCCATTTGCCAGGAGAAGGTCAGAAATAGAGGGCGTAAGTTGAAACACAAGGAACCGAGTAAGAATCTGTCCCCTGATAGGAAGCAAGACTTGAACGGCGCTAAGAGTAAAGAATGGGGAAGAATCATTAACCCGAGTGCAACGGTTGTCCATGTTGGTGAAGCGGCTTCGAAGACAAATCAAGAAGTTGGAAGTGAACCGCATCTCCATGTGTTTACACATCAGATGATGGAACAAATCAAGCAGTGCTGAAGGCTTGATGGTGCATTAAGGGTTCCATTGACCCTGGTGCTTGATGATGCTTGATGCGCAGACAGCCTCACCAACCCTTAGCAAAGAGGGCTTTCCGGAAGACGGAGTGCCAGGTCTAGATGACGATGCACTCTGTGAGTGTATGGCTTAGTAGACGCCCTGAACTTGTATTGGGATTCCTTGACAAGAACTTTGAAGGAACTTCATCCCGTTCAGTCGAACTGGGACAGTTGCATGTTTCACAGTATTGTGACTTGATCACGGGCAGTACCCAAGATCTTGTTTACAATGAGTTTGGACAATTGAAGTAGATGCATCCCTTCAATCATGTGAAGCACGGAGAGGGCGAGTTTGTTGGATATGATAAATATTGGAATAGAAAGAAGGCGGAAAGGTTGTTGTTCAACAAAAGGACTCTGCGGATACCCTCGAGTGTATTCCTATTAGCAAAGAAAGAACAAGGAAACATAATGCGGACATAAACGCATCTGAGAAAACACAGATGAGGGGAATGCTGAGGGAAATCCAATGGCTTGTTGTCACAGCTTCCAGGGCCAATCTAGTTGCGCAAGACATGATTTAAGTGAACAAACAGGTTGCCATGGCTCGAGACTATATATATATATATATTCCGGAATGGAAACTGTGGTGAAGACCGAAGACTTTAGATCCGAGAACAATCCAATTGCAGCATGGTAAGATGCCAGCTTTGCCAACGCTGAAGCACGGAAAAGTCAAGCCGGTTAGATGTGTGCTGTTGAACCTGGTCTACGAATCTAAGACGAAGTGAATGGGCCAACCTGTCACCTCTTAGATCCAGGAGTTACAAACAGGGTAGACAAGTTGGCTCTTTGATGAAGTTGATTACATCACTTTGGACAGAGGCAATGTTCGCAAACTACCAGTTTGAAGATGCTAAAATCTGGAGCTCGTGAATCCCAGTCACAATCAGTGTGAACTGACGTCCAGTCTTTGAATCTCAATGGACAGTTCCATGAGCAATAGAGACGTTGCTGGTGAAGAGAGATGTGACGAAAGGCGGAGTTAACATTAGGCGGCTTCACTTGTCATCTGTTGGTCGTTGGATTGACGAAGCTGGGAGTCAAAATGGATTGACAATGAAAGGTGATCCAGTACGGCAAGATGCGACTTAGAGAAAATCCAAAAATCGTGAGGCGGATTGGAAAGGCTACGAAAGGAAGTTGAATGGAGTTTTAGTTTGTGTGTGTGTGCGCGTCTGTTTGCTTTTGTTGGTGAGATCCGGAATTGGGATGTGATGTGTGAAAACCATATCAATTCCCAACCATGATGCTTAGATGAAGGGATGAACACATCCGGCACAAGCCCCCCTTCAGTCGCGGGAACAAATGTTTGGGTCGCCATAAAATCACCACTGAGGGATTCGTCCATTTTTAGTCTGTCAGGTATCAACCACCGCATGATGTTTTTCTGCATCAGTCAACCAGAACCATGAGCAAGCCCAGCCTTGCAGCAATCCCAATACCAGGAGCGAAGAGAGCACCTGATCTTGAAATTGAGTCTAACGGTTAGCAAACTCTGAACCAAACTTGCAGTATATGATGTGTTTCAAAAAAGCTGGAATATGCCGCAGGTGCACCAAAAAGAGCAACATGCTTCGCTCAAAGAGCTTTTGTGAGACTTTGGGAGCGACAAGATTTCCCATCTGGAGACCGACAGCTCCTGCGAATAGGCCTCAGCAAACACTGCGATTCCATCTATACATCGGAGGCTCCATTTGGATCTCAGAATCGAATTCGCCATAATTTGCCCAGCTACCAACACAGTAAATGTGGGCATCTTCCAGTCGGATGCGGCGTAACGACAGGAGCATGGGGAAGCGGAAGGTCCAAACCTGCAACAGCATGTTGAAAAATGATAATTAAAATGGTTGTACTGTACTACAGTATATATATATATCAATTGAGTCTCATTGATTCCATTGATGTTGTCTTTGGAACTGGAGTCACAGGGTCCACAAGGTGATATCTTGAACTACAGACTGTAGCTGTTGATTTGCAACACAATTCCAGTGGACTTGTTTATTGTGCTTGTGTGGCACCCATTCAACTACGCCTCAATAGCTTGGCCCATTGGGAAAAGGTTTCGTGCCACCACCTCGCATCGTCACGGCAAGGCACGTTCTTAATACAAGCAAAGCGAGCACCTTATAGCAAGCATGTATTCCACCTTTTATGAGCACCTTATAGATAGCAAAAATATAGTATTCCTTCTTTTGAAGAAGTTGTTTGCTTCTCTTGTAGGTAGCAAGATCCAAGACCTAAGACCAAGTGTCAAAATGACTACACTTACACCTCTTGCGGCCTTGTCCAAGCCAGTGATGGCTGTTAGCAAAATAAATGGCGGCCCATTCATCCCACACCTTGAACGAGTGAAGTGCTGAAACATTGGATGAATGTGATTGCAACAATGGGGACTCGTGCCAGCAACATGACCTACAAGAATGTCACTACGCTGAGTCTATAGCAGGCCCCCCAAGAAGCCTCCGATTAAACCTGCACAAAAGAAGAAGGAATAGTTCAGTGATCTGGCTCTGACATTCGTATCCCAGTGTTGGGCATCTACATTGTACATACTTGCAGAGCTGACATGCACATGATGGATGTAATCACCTCAGGGACCGCACGGATTTAAGTTGCCTTGTCAACACAGCAGTCGCCTACTGGTGGCAAAGCTCCCATCAGCCACCAAGGCGGTTCAGGCAGCTGACTCAGCGCAGCAGTTGTGTGTGTGTGAAGAAGACTGAGGGTTCATGACAAGGAATAGAACCATTTAAGGAACGCTCTTCAGTTCATGAGTTGCTTCTTAAGCCTTTGCTATCCAAAGGTTGGCAAAGCGAGATGAAGGGACATATTCATTTACCTGACTTGGTAGTTCAAAATGTCCTTGCCAAGGCCGACTGGACTTAGACTCCAGCTCTTTGACTGTGGTGCTTTGATCTTTGTTTTCCTCGTGCTGTTCTTCATGGTCTTCTTCCGGATCTTGTTGTTCCAACTCCTCATGCTTCTCAGACTCCGTCACCTCTGTGCACTCCATGGGTTCCCGGGGCTCTGTGATGTTGTCTCCTCGACATGAATCAATGTGTCACGCTATTCGGTTGCTTCAACCACTTCGCTTGAGCAAAGATGAAATTGTTGTTTTTTCACTATAGGACACTTGGCCCTGAAGCTTCACGGCCTTGCAATAACAAACATCTGTCCTTCCAAGTTCTTGCGTTTCTCGACCTATGATGCAGCTTGTGGCGACAAACAAAGCAAAACCAAACTTAGGACTTGGGATGACTTAAGTGCCGAGCTGCCTGCTTCGCAGTCGTTATGTTGAAAAGACCATCAGACAGGGGCTTCAGTAGAGCAAACGTCCTTGTTCGCACAAGGTTGAGGCAGCTCAAAGGGATGCAAAAAAGGCGGCTTTCCCTCCTCTCTCTGGCAAACCGTAATACACTTTCAATCAAAAACTTGCAGCAAAAAGACAGGAAGGTCATTGAAAGCACCAACTGCACATCCTCGGTCGGCGCCACCTGGCAAGAATGTTGGAAGGCATTCGATACCACCTCTGATACGAGCCCTCACCTCTCGCAAGTGGTTGCCAAGAGGAGAAAGCATGAGCATCGCAACACTGAAAACCATTCCAGGCTTCACATAGAACCACCTAAGCGAAGCGCTCAACGCTGAAGCAGCTCGAAAGAGCCTGGTGACCTCATGTTCGAGTTGTCAGTTGTGAAACCCCATGAGATATCTACACGAGAGCAGCAGGGCGAAGACACGTAAAAACGAGCGCTGATCTTTTCCTGCGAAGAAAACACCCAGGGCAGAGCACCCTCATCGCCCAAGGCAATTTGGTCGAGGCTTTTGAGACATCAAAGGAAAGCACCGGCACCAAACTCAAGTAATCAAAATTGAGTCGTTGCTGTGTTTCTTCTGCTGCTCTAGCCAGACACAGCGTCAAACCAGACGGAACTGGCCATCACCTTCATTTGCTTTGAATGCTGGTCCTGAAGCCCCCAGCCCTCAATGTGACAGAAAACTAAACACTTGGAGTTTTGTTTGGGCAGCTTTCGGGGTCATAGCCGTGGTTTGCCTTCTTTCTGGCAAACGTAAAGAAAGTAGAGAAGGAGAAAAAGCAGAGCTCGCACAAACTTGACACGCTTGATGACATCTAACCACACTTTCAGCGAGAGCCGGGTTGATCTCTCCACTATGTCATGTGAAAGCAGAACGCTCACGTGGTCTCATTTACTCTCTGGTGGCCAAGCCAATGCAGCTGTGCCCACCATTGCTGGTAATTCTTGAAAGCCAATTGAGCAGTAGAGGTGCATTGCATCACCTGGGATGTATACTGCGAGTGGATCTTAATCAGCGAAGTTTGAAGCTATCACTGACGGTCCATAAGCGGCGTAGCGTCGGAACGGGAACCGCACCTTTTCTAGTCGCTTGATCCTTGAGCCAAAGTACATATGGTATATATATATATGTACATGTTGCACTGTACATGTCGCTGCACTTCCATTCGCACCCCCCATGTGAACGGTAACAATATGTTCCGATCACACACGAAAATTTAGGGATGTAAGTGCTACAAAGAAATTGTGTGATTTGCCGCGAGACTCATACGAGGCTCATACTACAGAACATGCTGGACTAAAGCGGACTTTTACATATAAAGTGTGCAACTATGGCTCAGAACCTATAAAAAAAATCGAATTGAACAAGTGAGACAGTCACGAAGCCTCGCTCAGTATCCACTCAAAAGAGCTTCGCTTTGATGTAGACCCGAACTGGTGACTTCCACGTAGATGTCACATCGGCAATTGACTTCACACTTCTCAAAGATGTAGGTTTTGGTTTGGATACACTTACAGAACGGCAAGTCGGAGAGACAGTCGGTGATTGTCTTCCTTCCATTATGCTCATGGTATCAAATCAAATTGTCGATTTGCAATGGTACACTTACAGCGTTCCAGGTCAGATAGACATCCGGTGAATGACTTCCTCCCTGGTTTGCATGGTATCCTCATAGTCGTTCAAAGAAATCACCACTGGTGATAACCTCTCCATCCACGATGATCCCAGTTGCCCTGAGCATCCCTCCGATCATCTTCTCCCTTCTTGGACTTTCCCTTGGACTTGCTCTTTCCCTTTCCCTTTTCAGAAGGTTGAGGTACTTCGCGACGTTCTTGCGTTAACGCCGGCCTCCAAGATGTTCCAGATTGGCCTCCTCCTTTGGAATGTCCTCGGGATGATGAAGAAGCTGTACCTTCTGCTGCATGTGCGTTGGCGGCAAGATCTTCCTGCAAAGCTTGCTCAAACGCATCGGTAGCACTGGATGGTGATTTATCATGTGGTCTGGCTTTTGGAGCAGCTTTTGCCTTGATCTCCTCTGCTGATGAGGGCCCGAAACTCTTAGGTGCTGCTGAAGGTTTTGGTTCCTCATTTGGTGCTGACGACGGCTTGGCCTCGGTTCTGGGTGTAGATGCTGGCTTAGCTGTTGCCTTGGCTGCCTGCTTCTTCTTGCCCTGAATCTCCTTGGCCCTATCTCCAAAGCCTAGACGATTGGTAAGAGCTTGAACATGCTTGTGTTCTATCACGCTCATCCATCTCTCTGTATGTCCAACGTTGGGGTTTCTGGCCATTGACTCTATGACTTCCTGAGCTTGTGGGGGCAACCTGATTTCATGTTGATCAATGATCAAAAGAATAGACTTCTCCCACTTGCTCTTCATTCTCGAGTACATGATGTCCAGAGGATCGATCACCTTGTGGTAGGGTGACGTGATGTCGGTTCTAAAATAAGAATATGTCCGACACCCATAAATCGCATGGATGCACTTCTGTACCAATTCAGTCATTGCACTGGCTTTCCTCGCTTTCAACTCCTCAAGCTGGGCATCAGTCAAGTCGGTGGAGTATTCGAAGTTGCCATATTCCTCTTTGAAGGATTTCGGTGTGTGACCGAATGATAGGATCATGAGTGCTACCTTGCAAATGAATTGTTCTCCTCTGAATCGGTGCCAGGCCTCCTCAGTTGTAATATTGTTGTCGTTGGCAAAGTTTAACATCATGTCATCTGTTGGATCCAATGGTCTCCCATCGTCATCGATTTCAGTGGAGTCTCCTGTACCGAACTTGCTTATCACATCCAGACGCTTCTTTTTCCAATTTGCTTTGAAGTCGGTAAGGCTGGTGCAATAGTAGCTCTTGTACATCAGGGAGATCATGTTCAGCACACATTTGACCACATACCTATCCATCAAACCCGATGCATTCATGGAGACGTCCTGACAGTAGGCTCTCTCTTGATGCGCATAGATTCGAGGTTCCGGTACTCGACAATAGATGGGGAGATCTTCGTTGTCTCTTCCTTCTTCGGGATTGAACTCGGTCGCTCCATGCTGTGTGTAGTATCCCGGTTCATCACGATCTGTCGGTCGATTTGCCTCCGGATGTAAGTCGTCGGCGACGTCTTCATCCTCGGGCTCACCATCTTGACGTTTCTTCCCCTCATATTGTTGTGTGCTCCTCTGGATCTCGATGATCACGTTTCGTTCGTCTTCATCTTCTAGATCAGAATCACGACCGTAGTCGATCTCATCCTCATTGAAAGATGGGGTCTCGACATTGTCACTCTTGAGGTTCTCTGCACCATCAGACGTTTTGGAAGGATCTTGATTGTCCATATCCTCGTCGTCATCAGCTGCTTCAGTTTGAGCGATGTCTTCTTCCCAAGCCTTTCTGATCTCGTCCATAGTGGCCTGATCCAACATATCTTGATCATCATGTTCAGGCTTCTTCTCTTCCTTCTTTTCCTCTTCATCGTCGCTCACAAGATCAACGGGTGAATCGGAAATAACAGTGTTACGAATACCACACGAGAGTAGCCTGCCTTGACAAGATAGGCATACGGACAACGATGAAGAAGTCAAATGCATACATGATGGACACAAAATATTGCCATCCACGTTGCGATACCCTTCACATGTTCTGGAGATGATTTCGTCCCAAGTTTCCTCACTGATGGAATCCTCGATCAGCTCTCCATTGTCATCGAATCGTACTTCATCGATAAGGGATACGAGCTTCTGGACGTTGTCATCTGTCGCCGAGGCTGACTTTGTGACTTCGTCGGCTCTCCCGAGGATGGTATGCTTCTGAGCAACCCAAAGTCCATGACGTGCCGCTAGAACAACTTGTTCTCCAGTGCTTCCCAGCAGGAGTCTCCTCCATGCCTGACCGTGGTCATCCCAATACCAAGCACCTCGTACACATCTCCATGGAACTTCTCTAAAAACAACAGTGTAGGAATTCTCCGAGATTCTTCCTCCAAGTTTCCTCAAAGTCATGATTGGAACATAAAGGCAAACGGGCATTCCCCCCCCTTGGCCATCTTGATCTCAGGATCTTTGATGATCGATCATCCCATGGCGCAAAGTGGTTGAAGAAGACACTACCTCTATATCCATCCATTCCACCAGGGACAATTCCTAGTTTCATGATTGACTCAATATTGGAAAGCGATGTCATGTGAAAGCTTCCTCCAAGCTGCATTGCCACATTCTCTGGAATGAGATGTGAAGTCCATACAGGATATATTGACACATCCTCTTCAAGAACAGTCTCTCTTCCAGAATTGTGAGAGGCAACGGCTCGAATTGCACAAGGAACGATCCAACGTTCATGCTTCAGAAATGATGGTGCATCTGTGCCGTGAAACATGAGGTTTGCCCAGTATCGCCTTTCCTCTTCGAGTGAGACATCCTCCTTTGAGATGCGAACGGCGGCAATCTGATATCGTACTCTGTTCTGCAACTTCTTTGCATGCCACATCGCCTTGCATAAATATTGGTATCGCTCTGTCTTGATATCTTGCTCACGTCGGGTACCTGTGATAGTACTGATATTGACACCATCGTTGAAGACATGATCATATTCCAGGATCTCATCGATGTTCACCCATCCACCCTCATTGCACTTCGGGGACACATGAGGTTTTCGACCGCGGTGCGATTGAATCCCATTATGCTTTCCCACTCCATGCCTGAGTAGTCTATTGAGTCTGTGGCTAATCTCGTTGACCCATTGACTCTCCTCGCTGAGCTTGTCGATGCGGATTGCTGGGTTCATCTTTGGTGGATCCGTGTAAGTTGCATCTATCTTCGGTCCATTCCAGTACTCCACATAGAATGTAACTCCATACTGAGGAATTATCTCAATGTTTCCTCTATCGCAAGTCACCTCAATCTGCCGATATCCAGCCTTTTGAAATTGTTGTGGATCAGGAGCAAGGTCCTTCACTTTGGGCATCTTTATTCCGAGTGCTGCAGCCTCCTGAATAAGTGCATCAAGTTCCCTCTTTCCATCAGGACCTGATCTATCAACCCTGTGATTTGCGACCTTGTGCTCTCCTCCTTCTTTGTCATCGGCAATGTCAAAGAGGTCGACGGGCTCTTTGAATCTGGTGACGAAGCTGGCGTTCCCAAAGGCCTTCTTGGTCGCCTCGACCGCTTTTGCGTATTCCTCTTTTGCAGAGTCTGACGAATGTGGTCTACCTTTGGCTCTCGGAGAGTAAGGTGGTACCTTACTTCCTAGTTCCGGTTCTTCTTCGGGAAGTTCAATGTCTTCATCATCCACATCCATGTAGTCTTCGTCTTCGACGTCTTTGGGTGACTTTGCTTTCCTCTTTCGGCTTTCAACATCACGTCGGATGATTGCCTTGTCGTCCTCGGTGAAGCACTTGCGCATAGTGTCCTCCATGTAAGAGAATGATTTCATCAACACGTCTTTCTTCTCAGTGTCGGGACAAATAGCCAGGTGATGTTGGTTTGAACCACAACAATAGCACACATTTTGGCTCTCTGCGCGTGCCCTGACTCTTCTGAGGTTGTCATAGGCGGATTTCCAGCTGGAAGCGATTGCTGTACCTTGTCCACCGCGCTTGGTAGCTCTTTTCCGATCCTCAGTGTCCGGATTCGATGTCGGGTAGTTCGACCATGTTTTCGTCGGAGATACTGAGCGACCTTCCCCATCCTTGTAATCTTGCGGATCAAGCTCAGGCGTAGGTGGTTCAGGCTCCTCGACTCCTGGAGTGGTACTCGCAGGGTCGGCTTCGCCATCCTTCATCTCTACATCAGGCTCTTCCGTAGATGTTCTTTTGGGTTCTGGGGCTATGGCCAGTCGTACCATTCTCCTGAACTCTGGTCTGGTAGCATATCTGGACATGACGGCATCGATACAGGCTCGTTCTTCAGCTGTAACATGGAGCCCTGAAGGTTTATTCCTCTTGGTGTTGTCATTGATTGATTTTCGGCTCGCTGCATAGAAGTGAAGAAA